TGATTATTATTATTTTTTACAAAAATTGACGAAGGCAAAGCCCATGATGTACAATCCATCAATTTGCCTTAAAAACTAATTATGTGTATCGACTTTGACTCTCGATTTTGATGCAAGTTTTAGTAGCGTAAGAGCTTCTCACTTAAAAATATTCTCATATCAAGAGCTCAAACAGAGACCTTTGTTTCAGTTGTGGAGGAATTCTATCCACCACACAATTTTCATTACTTACCGAAGACTAACTCTAAATAAAAAGATACAGAGGTCAGAAATTGGGATAAAAAGTTTTTAGATAGTCGAGCATTATCTTAGTACTCTTCCTTATCAATATTGTTATTGTTAAAGCTTGTTGGTTCCTTTGCTTTGGTTACGACATTATGTGTTATTGTTACTATACCTCTCTTCTCCATTATGTCCAGCATAACTGCTTCACTACTATATTTTTCTTTTCATATTGATTTTATCACATTTTGTTTAAATCGAGGATGTGTCAGAATAGAGACAAGAATATGTATACACGACGCTCTTCAGACTCGATCCACTTGAAAATTTACACTCAATATGAATTGATTTTAGGGAAATGGATTGATTTAACACTTCCTTAGGAATTTGTATTTTTGTACATGATAGAAACCTAAGTTGACACGTTACTTAGTACACTTTTTTTTCCTTGTACTAAACTTAGTACTTAATTTCCACTGGGTAAAAACTAATTTTTTTTTCCATGATATATTAAATCAAGAAAGGATAAAGTCAAAAACATGGGCCAAAAAATTTAGTGATTAAAAAGCTGCTAATTAGTAAGTAGTTTGTTTCATCCAATAAAACATTTTTTTACAATCTGTTAACTTTATTTTAACCTTCTCTTTTAAGATGTAACTAGGTAGAAAAAGTGGGATTTCATTGGATTTTGAAATAAATTTAAAAAGTTGTAAGAGTGTTATGTGATTAATTTAACTATATTTAATAAACGCTTGAGAATATACAGAGTTTTTTTTCTTTCAAAAATTGAACGAAAGCGTTAAATATATAAATAATATTTTATCATGTGTTAGGTGCTTAATCAGAACAAATCATGATTAATAGTATAAGTTTAAGGAATTATCGATATATTAAGCATATTTTAAATCAAGAAAAGATCAAGTCAAATCATGGGCCATTTTTTTTTGTAGAAAAACAAAACCATGCTTAATTAGTTAACAAAAAGCTGCTTTATTTTAATGATCTCTTTTAAGATGTACTAACAAAGTAAAAAAGGGGGATATTCATTGGATTTGGTTGGGAAAAAAAAGGTTGTAAGAAGGTAGATTAAAAAGGGTGACAATTCAAAAAAAAAAAGAACATTGATAAGTCAATCAATAAAGTGAATACTAATAATCATTATCATAAGTCACTGTAAAAAATCTCATACATGATTAGGTGTTAGCAGACAATCTATTCATTTTATTATGTTTGGTCATTTGTTGGGAGACATGTCAATCCTTTTAAAGGAAAAAAAATATTAAGAAATTAAAACCATAAGGAATTAGATGAACTATTTTGAGTTTTTTATTTTTCAAAAATAAATAAATTGTATTTTGTTTTGAAAATTGGCCAAGCTAAGACTTAAAAGATAAGTTTAATTTATAGAGTGGTGGTTAAATGAACAATGATGTTTGAGTGGAGTCTTTGTTGTCCACAAACTCACACATTCAGAAAATAAGAGCAGCGTCAATGAGGATGTTACGTTGCCTCCGTGCATATTGTGGACAAGATGAGAGATATGATAAGTCTGAAGATATGTCTAGAATAAGATAGGAGTGACACCCGGGCATGATGGACAAGATGAGAGAAGCAAAGGCTGATCGAGATGGTTTGGGCATGTACTAAAAAGATGCCCTAATATATGCTTCAACGAGAAGGTGTGAAATGTCGGATATGAGGGGATCCAAAGAAGCATCAGAGAGATGATTAGACATGACATAACATATATAACACTCTTGCAGCTTATTGAAGACACAATCCTAGGTAGGAGACTAGGAGGGTATGAAGATCGGAAATTAGGATAGAAAGTTAGTGAACAATTGTGTTGTATCCTCTATTGATTCAATATCGTATTATTTGTTATAATAACTACTCATTTCAATAATATTTTAACATGACTATTTTTTACTAATATATCTTCTTATACCTTTTTTAAGTGAATCCATGAGACACTTACATTCCACATGAGTATCCCTAAGTGTGTATAGATGGCTAATATTTTTTGTTAGGTAGGTGTAGTATTCTATTAATGTTATATATAATTGACTCATGTAAATAAATCTAATTAAGATAAGCTCTTGAAAAATTAATTGGAGTCTACCTAGAAATTATTAGCCTATTGTTTGGAACATGTCAAAATAATTTATGTGACCCCAACTAATTAGCCGTCAATTAGTCAATTAATTAACTTTATTTTATATCAAACTTATGAAACTCTTGGGGGATTTCTTGGAGTTTAAGAGAAAGACTGCTTACTTAAACAAACCCAAAAATCTATGCTTTATTATAAAGTATTATATGTATCTAATTTAAGTTTTGAGAATGGAAAAATCTCTTGATGGAACATATTCATGAACAGAGTTAGGGTACCGGATGATTAAATAGCTTATATAAGGTTAAAATTATTTCCATATATAAAATATAGATTCAAAATCTTCTTGATCAAATGTTTACTTCTTTATTATATTTTGATTATCACCTTAATTAATAATTATAGTTCCATCACTGAACGTACTTTTCTCCTTATGGACTTAGATTGATCGTTGATTTACACAATTAGTCAGCCAGTAATGCAAAGCTACCGTACATAATGGATTATGATTGAACGCTACTAAAATCAAATTTGTATTAAAAGTGATGTATACGTCTATCGCACGATGCATAATCTGAATTAATTGGACCAGTAAATTTTAGATAAGAAAATCCAATCAATTACCACTTTTTTTTTCTTTACAAGAGCTAGAGTTCAGCAAAAGTAAGTTAAAAATAGGTCTGTCCTTTTGACTTTGTAATTATAATTATATGACTCAGAAAAATTCAAATTTTCTTCTTTAGGTTGTAAGAAGGTAGATTAAAAAGGGTGACAATTCAAAAAAAAAAAGAACATTGATAAGTCAATCAATAAAGTGAATACTAATAATCATTATCATAAGTCACTGTAAAAAATCTCATACATGATTAGGTGTTAGCAGACAATCTATTCATTTTATTATGTTTGGTCATTTGTTGGGAGACATGTCAATCCTTTTAAAGGAAAAAAAATATTAAGAAATTAAAACCATAAGGAATTAGATGAACTATTTTGAGTTTTTTATTTTTCAAAAATAAATAAATTGTATTTTGTTTTGAAAATTGGCCAAGCTAAGACTTAAAAGATAAGTTTAATTTATAGAGTGGTGGTTAAATGAACAATGATGTTTGAGTGGAGTCTTTGTTGTCCACAAACTCACACATTCAGAAAATAAGAGCAGCGTCAATGAGGATGTTACGTTGCCTCCGTGCATATTGTGGACAAGATGAGAGATATGATAAGTCTGAAGATATGTCTAGAATAAGATAGGAGTGACACCCGGGCATGATGGACAAGATGAGAGAAGCAAAGGCTGATCGAGATGGTTTGGGCATGTACTAAAAAGATGCCCTAATATATGCTTCAACGAGAAGGTGTGAAATGTCGGATATGAGGGGATCCAAAGAAGCATCAGAGAGATGATTAGACATGACATAACATATATAACACTCTTGCAGCTTATTGAAGACACAATCCTAGGTAGGAGACTAGGAGGGTATGAAGATCGGAAATTAGGATAGAAAGTTAGTGAACAATTGTGTTGTATCCTCTATTGATTCAATATCGTATTATTTGTTATAATAACTACTCATTTCAATAATATTTTAACATGACTATTTTTTACTAATATATCTTCTTATACCTTTTTTAAGTGAATCCATGAGACACTTACATTCCACATGAGTATCCCTAAGTGTGTATAGATGGCTAATATTTTTTGTTAGGTAGGTGTAGTATTCTATTAATGTTATATATAATTGACTCATGTAAATAAATCTAATTAAGATAAGCTCTTGAAAAATTAATTGGAGTCTACCTAGAAATTATTAGCCTATTGTTTGGAACATGTCAAAATAATTTATGTGACCCCAACTAATTAGCCGTCAATTAGTCAATTAATTAACTTTATTTTATATCAAACTTATGAAACTCTTGGGGGATTTCTTGGAGTTTAAGAGAAAGACTGCTTACTTAAACAAACCCAAAAATCTATGCTTTATTATAAAGTATTATATGTATCTAATTTAAGTTTTGAGAATGGAAAAATCTCTTGATGGAACATATTCATGAACAGAGTTAGGGTACCGGATGATTAAATAGCTTATATAAGGTTAAAATTATTTCCATATATAAAATATAGATTCAAAATCTTCTTGATCAAATGTTTACTTCTTTATTATATTTTGATTATCACCTTAATTAATAATTATAGTTCCATCACTGAACGTACTTTTCTCCTTATGGACTTAGATTGATCGTTGATTTACACAATTAGTCAGCCAGTAATGCAAAGCTACCGTACATAATGGATTATGATTGAACGCTACTAAAATCAAATTTGTATTAAAAGTGATGTATACGTCTATCGCACGATGCATAATCTGAATTAATTGGACCAGTAAATTTTAGATAAGAAAATCCAATCAATTACCACTTTTTTTTTCTTTACAAGAGCTAGAGTTCAGCAAAAGTAAGTTAAAAATAGGTCTGTCCTTTTGACTTTGTAATTATAATTATATGACTCAGAAAAATTCAAATTTTCTTCTTTTTTACTGTTTTAAACCCCCACCCCCTCCCCCTCCGCCTTCCACCCCCACCAACCCAAAGTCACCTCTTAGAGTATTATTATTTAATATAAATATTAGCTACAACCAAGAAACTCTTGTCTATTTGTCTATATATCTAACTAAAAAAAAATCCTCCCAAAAAAAAAACCATTAGTGTTTGTAAAACAACACATACACAAGAAAAAATGGGAAGAGCTCCATGTTGTGATAAAGCAAATGTAAAAAGAGGTCCATGGTCTCCAGAAGAAGATGCTAAACTTAAAGATTTTATTCACAAATTTGGTACTGCTGGTAATTGGATTGCACTTCCTCAAAAAGCAGGTATTTATTATTCAACTTACTTGTATCTTGTCCGTCGGAAACAGTCTTTCTATTCTGTAAAGGTAGGGATAAAGTCTGTGTACATGTATAGTACTTTAGACCTATTTATGTGATTATACTGAGTATGTTATTATTGTTATAGTCGGAAAATTGTTTTTGATGGTATTAATTGTTTGAATATTTTTCAGGGCTAAGGAGATGTGGTAAAAGTTGTAGATTGAGATGGCTAAATTATTTAAGGCCAAATATAAAGCATGGTGATTTTTCTGATGAAGAAGATAGAGTTATTTGTAACTTGTATGCCAATATTGGAAGCAGGTGATTTATTTTATTTTATTTATTTATTTGCTATTTTAGGTTTCTATGATGACTTTGAGACTGAAAAAAAAAAATTGTTCCCACTAAAAATGGAAAAAAAAGAACCTCAATAAATGAGAAAAAAGGCAAAAAATATTTATAAATATTTAAATTAGGGTTCAGAAAGAAATGCAATTAGTCTGTTGGATTTTTTAATTAAAGATTCTTCCATTTATAGACAATTTTTTTCTGCATGCATGACAGGGTTTAGATCTAAGATAAACTCTTTGTTTATTTAACATAGTTCACCCCCCCCCCCCTCCTTAGTGTTTATGTTTACGGGAGATTTGGTTTTATAATCCGTTACATGTTAATATGATCATTTTTAGAGAAGATCGTTAATTTATTTATTTTTAACATGTACAATTATGTTGGCAGGTGGTCAATTATAGCGGCTCAATTACCAGGAAGAACAGACAACGATATCAAGAATTATTGGAACACGAAGCTCAAGAAAAAGCTCATGGGATTAATAATACCTAATAACAATTCTTCTTCTTATAATAATAATAATTACCAAAAAAAATTACCATATTTTCCATCTACTTCTCTTCATCAAGCCCAACAAAATCTTGGGCCTTTTATTACAGGCCAAGAACAGCCCATTATTATTCCATCAGCCCAACAAAATATTATGTACACCAATAACAACAACAACTTGATGATGATAGCCAATAATTTGCAAAATTATCCAAATTTTGGTGCTACAAATTATAATTTGCAAAATTATCCAAATTTTGGAGAAGTTGCAAGTTGTTCTTCATCAGATGGAAGTTATTGCAGCCAAATGAGTTTTGGTACTAATAAAGATATTATTAGTATTAAAAGAGAAGAAATTATGAGCTTTGGTCATCATGATGGTGCTATTTATGAAGAAATTAATAACCAACAATTTAATTTTGGTTATTTTGGAAATACTATGCAGGAGATTGCTACAAGTTGTTGTACCAATGGCAATAGTGGTAGTACTACCCATAGTAGTAATAATTTGTTGTTGTACAATAATGATGAAAATTGTAACAAGTCAAATGAGATGGGGATGTTTTATTATTAAAAAATGTAAGTACAATTATGGAAGATGTGATAGTTGTTGTGTTGTTGGGGGGTATGGGGTTATTGCCAAGTAGATATTGGACTTTTTTTGGGGTTTTGTGTAGCTCTACTTATGTTGGAATTGAATGGAAAAGAACTTCTTGATTTCATTTCATTTGGTGGAAGCCCTTGAATTCAACTAGAAAGTCAAGATCAAGAAAAAGTTCAAGTTCAAGATCAAGTCCAAGTCCAAGTCCATGTCCAAGATCAAGATCAAGATAAAGATCAAGATCAAGTTCAAGTCCAAGTCCAAGCTCAAGAGCCCTTGAATTATACTCCCTCTGTCCCAATTTATATGACTTACTTTCCTTTTTAGTCAGTCCCAAAAAGAATGACACATTTCTATTTTAAGTAACAATTTGCCTATGAAATGTCTTTTTTACCCTTAATGAAATGATTTACAACCACACAAATTTCTATCATTCATTTTGGACCACAAGTTTTAAAAGTCTTTCCATTTTTCTTAAAGTTTGTGCCAAATCAAAGTACATCATATAAAATGGGACGGAGGGAGTATTTATTGTGAGATTTTGATTAATTTTAATTTATATTGTGTAAGATTTTTTTTTCTTCAAACTTGATGTATGGTACTTGGTTTGAAATCATCATGACTAATTTGATTTGCATAATGCATCCCCATAAAACTCATTTAATGTTTTGTGTAGCTACTTATGTTGGAATTGAATGGAAGAAAAAGAAATCTTGATTTCATATCACTTGTGTTTGATATTATAGTGAGATTCTGATTAATTTAAATTTGTATTACGTACGGCTTTAAAAAACCTGATGTATGATGGTACTTGTTTTGGAATCATGTTTATTTCGATTTGCATCCCATAAAACTCATTTAATATTGTGTAGCTACTTATGTTAAAATTGAATGGAAGAATTGAAAATAAGTTTTTTTATTTCATTTCACCTAGTGTTTATTATTCATTTTGATTAATTCAAATTGCGTAAAACTTTTTCCTTTCAAACTTGATGTTTGGTACTTGTTTTGGAGTTGTGACTAACTCGATTTGCATTTCTTAAAATCCAGTTAAGAAAAAAGGATGTTTTTTCTATTTCAAGGGGAAATTTAGCATAGGTTAATTACCATCATCTTTAAAAAAAATTAATTCAAAGATATTTTAATGTATAAAGTATCCGGACTTATGTAGCTTGTTAAGGATGTGTGATGTAAACAACTAGTCTATTATGATGTATACAAGCAAGACTAATTTTACGATACAAATGTATGATCTAAAGTATACACATAAATAAGTTTATCTTTACACCAAAACAAGAATATAACTAAAGATTTTCACCTATAGATTCGAAAGAAAGATAAAAAAAAAAAAAGGCTCATATTTCTATTAATTTATTGAGTGTAACAAACTATAGAAATTCAAAGAATCTTTGTATGATGAGAATGAGTCATGCATATAGAAAAATAGATAATAATAATAAAACATGGAAATATATATTTGGGGATTTGCATGGTCGTTTAAGATTTGAAAGTGACAGAAAGATTAATTAATCAAAATCTCAGTGTTAATTTTTTTATAATTTTAAAAAAACATACGAATATTTATTTAATTGATCTCTAGTTTTATATACTATGATTAAAAATAGTAAATACTCAAACGCATTTCACGGCAATGAAGAATTTGATTCATACTAGCGATAAGATGAAAATTACTCCCTTTTAATGATTTTCGTGCCACCACAATAGAATGATATCGAAAGAGTGATTATAATTATTATTATCATTATTATTATTACTGTGTTGATAACAATAATAATAATAATATTTTTATGCTTATGATATTATTGATTGATCATTGACCGTTGTTTTTTGGATAATCAAATATGGGTAAGGGGTCCACATTAAAGTTGACTCTTTGCATAGAAATATCATCTTAGGTAAGCTTAATAATAATTTAATACACTTGGCGAATAATTCCATATGGCAAATAAATATAATATTTATATTTTTAAAACATAATTTCTTGTTGAATTTATTTTCTATTAATACATTTAATTACTTCTTCTCCTCTAGTAAAGTTTTGAAAATGATAACTACTTTTGTTTGACTAATATTGTCCCCAACATTTTTGTAGCTTCTAGAAAATTACTTCAAAATATTAACTTGAAGAACCTTTCAAATGATAACAACTTGTGAAGGCATGTTGCATTTTAAAATCAGTTACAATTGTGGTGGTGTGGTTAGTATTTTTTATTTTTAATCAAAAATTTCAAATTCGAGTCTTGTTGCCTGTTGGATACATAGTTGTCGTTATTAGAGAGTGTTTTACTCCCCTCCCTCATAATATAGAATTTCGTGGTGCGAATCCAGATTTAATCAAATTCCACTATAGATATTGAACAATGAGAAACGATAAAAAATTAATTCAAAGAATGATCCTTTTTTTTATTTCCCACCTGGTGTTCGAAACCTACATTAGAGCCCCGACTAAATTCAGATTGCGCACTGCAGGGTCCATTCGGGGTGGCGCTCCCAACAAAAAAAATTCATACCCAAGACTCGAACATGAGAACTCTGGTTAAGGATAAAGTAGTCCCACCACCCTCAATCATCAAATTGCAATTAATTTTCAATCTCAATCATCAAATTGCAAATAATTTGCTTGTTTTTTTTATGTCTTGATGGGACAAATTGAGGAGAGAGGCTAGGTCAAAATTATTATAAAAATTTAAGAGATGAAAAACAAATTAATATAATTTATTTTACCCCTTATTAAAGACCAAGACTGAGCACACAAATGTAAAAAGGAAAAATATAGTTTACTATTTGATTTCTTCTCTAATTATTCTTTACTTATTACAAAATATTTAATTACCTACTTGTGTTTGAACTAGCTAATTTGACCAACAATGTGAAAATAGTTGACAGTATGAGAAATAAAGGTGAAGAATTTCAAAGCTTTAGCAAACAGTTGAAATTTGAAACTTAATTTGTATATCAAGCTGTTTTTTAAATTTAAATAAATATACATGATTAGCAAGTTTTTGCCTCAATTTTATCTATCATGTTGTCATGAGTTTGGAATGGAATAATTTGTTATTGAATAAATATCTTATTGATGCTAATATAAGACCTCTGATTAAAAATTGAAGGATCTTAATTATCCTACCAAAATTCATATTGGTGAGCTTTATGTGTTGTATATGTATCTCAATCAATACCTTAAGTTCTTATGATGTTTATATTAATTCTAAAAGTCAGTATTAAATAAATAAAATATAATTTAATTGGTAGCTACCTAAGACAATTAAAAGTGCAATTTAACGGGTTATAGCATAACACTATTTTTTTTTACATTTTTTTAACACTTATTTCCATTTTTAGTTTTCTTTTCTAACCCTGAACTGTTATTATTAATTTTAAATTGTATCAATCTAATATTTAATTTTTCTCTCATTTTTATTAAAACACACGTCAATTAATTATTTTTATCACAACTATCTAGAGGTCGACAGATAAAAAATTATGAAGTTTCATGCTCAATTCTTAACATAGACAAATACGCTAAGTGATTTCTTTTCATTCTATATTGATAGACAAACGATCTTAACAAATACCTTGTAAAATTAGTTAACGTAACATATATATGGATCTAGACATAATAGCTATATATTATCAAAAAAATTATACCACGACCTAGCTTTTCCATAGGAAAACCACTATTTAAAGTCATATTTTGAATATAAATATACATATATTTTTCTCATATATATATTCAAGGACTTTTTATAAAAAATAAATAAATCTAAAGATGACAATTAATCGTTCAAAAATCTTATAGGTACAACATGACGTGCCATGACCTAATAGATACAAATCTTTAAAGGATAAAAAGTTATAAGAGTTAAAAAAAGAAGAAGAAGCATATGACAACAATTTGTTTTGTGGCTCGATGAATATAATTTTAGTGACAATAAAGAAAAAAAAAGGGTAATGAATATTGACAGGTGAAGGAATCACACTTGCTTCTAGCTCGGATTCTGACTTAGACGAGTTCAATTATAATTTTATGCATGGTGATTTCGTACGTTGGCTTTTCAATCAAATGTATGACCGATCGTGTGAATCAATGATTTTACTCATATTAGCTTGAATTATTATTACAAAATTGTAGTAATCAACATGGTGAAATGTAATTTCGAGGTATTAGTTAACTTTGTCTATCAAAATTTTCCTTTCAGTTTGTCGCAAAGAAGAATGTTCACCTTTCCTTAATTATAAACAATTTAATTTTAAAATTCTTCTTTCACTCTTAATAAAAAGATTTAACGATAAATTTAAAATTTGTTTTAGACTATAAATTTTAAAATTCTTCTTATCTTTAACTTTATATCAAGTCAAATAATATTTTATAAATTAAAATGGATAAAGTAATTTTCACAAAATCACTAGCAAATATGGTATGCAGACAATAATTGTCCCTTTTTATTTTTATTTTACCAACATGTGCTACCACGAAATAGTTGAGATTTCTTCCCCCTTAATAAAAAAATCTCAATGTTTGAGTCCTTGTTAATGAAAAAAATAATATTGAAAACTCCTACCGTAAAAATATATCCTCCAATAAACAAATTCATATTCAATCGAGTCTCAATACATGATATTTATCCTAGTGAATTGAAAAGGATTCAATTGAAAGCGTCTATCCTAAAAATATTTCCTGCAATATGTGAATTTATATTTAATCGAGCCTCAATACGAGATATAGGAGGATAAGTACTCTATATATTGTCATTATAAGAGAATGTCTTTTCTAAGTGAAGAGTAAAAGGTCAAAAGTTTGTGGAAAAATTTTAACTGACAAAACTGACTTTAGTCATATATGACTGAAATATATGTATAAAAATGAGTGAATTTTATGAATTTTATATAAATTGTGATTGAACAGTGTATATATATCTATCTATCAAGTTTATCTTGTCATCAACAATCATAAATGTGACACATAAAACTCTGAGAAATTTTTGCCTAAAGATAGAAGCATAAAATTCTCTCATTCATTAAATTTAGCAAATCTATACTCCTCAGAGTTCAGATCTCTTTTTTACCATATGATAAAATTTAAAATTAGAGGTCTAGAAAGTTAT